AACAATTAATTCCAATACTATATAGACTATATGGGAAAAGAGGCAAAGACAGAGTCTTACCAAATTCTTTTTATGATACAAATATGGTGTTGATACCTAAACCAGAAAGAGTAAAAACAGAGAAAGAAAATTATAGATCAATTTCCCTAATAAATATAGATGCAAAAATTTAAAATAAAATATTAGCAAAGAGATTACAGCAATTTATCACGAGATTATAACCAGGTAGGATTTCTACCAGGAATGCAGGGCTGGTTCAATATTGGGCAAACTATCAGCATAACTGATCATATCAACAAAAAAACCTAACAGAAATCATATAATTATCTCAATAGGAGCAAAAAAAGCTTTTGACAAAATACAACACCCATTCCTATTAAGAACACTAGAAAGCACAGGAATAAATGGAGTCTTTCCTGAAATAATAACTAACATCTATCTACATCAGCAAGCATCATATCTAATGGGGATAAGCTAGAAGCATTTCTGATGAAACAAGGATGTCCTATTACCACTATTATTCAATATGGTACTAGAAATGTTAGCTTTAGCAATAAGAGCAAAAAAGGAAATTGAAGGAATTAGAACAGGCAAAGAAGAAACAAAACTATCACTCTTTGCAGATGATATGATGGTATACTTAGAGAACCCTGGAGCATCAACTAAAAAACTACCTGAAATAATAAACAACTTTAGCAAAGTTGCAGGATATAAAATAAACCCACACAAATCACTGGCATTTCTATATATTACTAACAAAATCCAACAGCTAGAAAGAGAAATTTCATTTAAAGTTACTATAGATATTATAAAATATTTAGGAGTCCATCTGCCAAAACAAACCCAGGAACTATATGAACACAATTATGAAACACTTTTCACACAAAGTCAGATCTAAATAATTCAAAAAAACAACTGCTCTTGGGTAGGCCAAGTAACATAATAAAAATGACAATTCTACCTAAATTAATTTACTTATTCAGTGTCATATGCATTAAACTACCAAAATATTATTTTATAGAGCTAGAAAAAATAAAAACAAAATTCATCTGGAAGAACAAAAAGTGCAGAACATCAAGAGAATTAATGAAAAGAAATGCTAGGAAAGGTGGCCTAGCTGTACCGGATCTGAAATTGTATTATAAAGCAGCAAACATCAAAACTACTTGGTACTGGCCAACAGTAATCTACTGTTTGATAAACCCAAAGACCCCACTTTTGGGATAAGAACGCACTATTTGACAAAAACCGTTGGGAAAACTGGAAAAGAGTATGGCAGAAACGAGGCATAGCCTAACATCTTACATCATATACCAAAATAAAGTTAAAATAGGTATATGATTTAGATATAAAGGCTGATACTATAAGCAAACTAGGAGAGCAAGGAATAGTTTACCTTTCAGATCTATGGAGAAGGGAAGAATTTATGACCAAACAAGAAATAGAGAACATTATGAAACGTAAAATGAATAATTTTGGTTACATTAAATTGAAAAGTTTTTGCACAAAGCCAATGCAACCAAAATTAGGAGGGAAGCAGAAAACTGAGAAAGAACTTTTACAACCAGTGTCTCTGATAAATACCTCATTTTTAAAATACAGAGAGAAATGAGTCAAATTTATATGAATACAAGTCATTTCCCAATTGATAAATGGTCAAAGGATATGAACAGGTAGTTTTCAGAGGAAGAAAGTAAAGCTATCTATAGTTACATGAAAACATGCTCTAAATCACTATTGATTAGAGAAATGCAAATCAAAACAACTCTGAGGTAACACATCACACCTATGAAATTGGCTAATATGACAAAACAGGACAATGATAAATGGTGAAGAAGATGTGTGAAAATTGGAGCACTAATGAACTGTTGGTGGAGTTGTATACTGATCCAACCATTTTGGAGAGCAATTTGGAACTATGCCCAAAAGGCTATAAAATTGTGCATACCCTTTCTAGGCTGAGATCATAAAAATGGACCCACATGTATAAAAATATTTGTAGCAGCTCTTTTTTGTGGTGGCAAAGAATTGGAAATTGAGGGGATGCCCATCAACTGGAGAATGGCTGAACAAGTTGTGGTATATGAAGTAATAGAATACTATTGTGCTATAAGAAATGATGAGCAGACAGACTTCAGAAAAACCTGGAAAGACTTATATGAACGGATACTGAGTGAAATGTGCAGAACCAGGAGAACATTAAACACAGTAACAGCCACAATATGTGATGACTGACTTTGATAGACTTGGCTCTTCTTAGCAATGAAAGGATCTAATACAACTCCAAAAGACTCATGATGGTAAATGCTAGAAAACACTATCCACATCCAGAGAAAGAACTATGGAGTCTGAATGCAGATAGAAGCATACTATTTGCTATCCTTTTCCTTTGTTGTTTTGTGTTTTATTCTCATAGTTCCCTCCTATTAGTTCTAATTGTTCTTTACACCATGACTAATGGGAAAATATGTTTAATAGGAATGTATATGTAGAGCCTATATCAGACTGCATGTCGTCTTGGGAAGGGGGACAGAAAATTTAAAACTCAAAAGCTTATGGAAGTGAATGCTGAAAACTAAAAATAAATAAATTAATTTAAAATAAATAAATAAAAGAAACCATAGACAACGAATAATATCAATACCAAACATACATGTACCAAATGGCATAGTATCCAAATTCTCAAAGGAAAAGTTAAATTAATTACAGGAGGAAATGATGAAACTATTAGAGTGGCACACCTTCAACTTTCCCCTTTCAGAGCTAGATAAATCTAACCAAAAAATTAATAACAAAGAAGTCAAGGAGATGATTAGACTCTTAGAAAAGTTACAATATGATAGGCTCTGGAAAAAACTGAAAGAGAATAGAAAGGAATATACCTTTTTATCAACTGTACAGGGTACCTTCAAAAAAACACTGACCATGTATTAGGGCATAAAAACCTTACAACAAAATGCAGAAAAGCAGAAATGCTAAATGTACCCTTTTCATACCATAATGCAAAAAAAAAAATCATTTCATAAAGCTGCGTGGAAGCATAGTTTCAAAGCTAACTGTAAACTAAATAATCTAATCTGAAAGAATGAAGGAGTGAAAGAACAAATCATAGAAAACAATAATTTCATTAAAGACAACAACAATAATGAAACAATGTTCCAAAATTTGTGGGATGCAGCTAAATTAGTACGTAGGAGAAAATTTATATTGCTAACATCAATAAGAGAGAAAAAGAGGATCAATAAATTAGCCATCTCACTAAAAGAAAAAGACAAAGAACAAATCAAAAATCTGCAATTAAACACTAAAATGGAAATCTGGAAAATCAATAAAACTGAAAGTTTAAAAAATATATTAAACTAATATACTAAAACTAGGAACTGGCTCTTTTTTTTTAAAATGAAACAGATAAACCATTGATTAATTTGATTTAAAAATAAACCAAATTATTAATATCAAAAAATGAAAATGAAGATGAAATTAATGCAATTATTAGAAGTTATTTTGCCCAACTGAATGCCAATAAAACTGACAATCTAGGTGAAATGGATGAATATTTACAAAAATAAAAATTGCCCAGATTAACAGAAGAGGAGAATAACCCTATTTTAGCAAAAAGCTGAATGAGTCATCAATGAGCTTCCTAAGAAAAAACCCCCATGACCAGATGGATTCTCAAGTGAATTCTAACAAACTTTTAAGGAACACTTAATCCCAATATGATATAAGCTATTTGAAAAAATAGGTAAAGGAGTCCTATCAAATTCCAAATACAGTTTTGATACCTAAACCAGGGAGCACAATAACAGAGAAAGAAAACTATATGCCAACTTCCTTAATGAATATGGATACAATAATTGTAAATAAAATACTAGCATGGAGATTACAGAAATATATTACAAAGATCTCAAACTATAACCAGGTTGGATTTGTAGCAGGATTGCAGGGCTGGTTAAATATTAGGAAAACCATCAGCATAACTTATCATAACAACTATGTAAAAACAAGATGTATTCAGGATAAATTGAAGATAATTAAAGGAGAGAAGGCACTAAGATTAAGGGAGATTGGGAAAGTTTTCTTGTAGAAGTTGAGCTTTTAGTTAGGACTTAAAGGAAGGCAAAACATCAGAGGTCCATATCCTCTTTTAAGAATATTCTGTTCTCCTTGACCTTCTAATACTACTTAAAGACCAGAAAACACAACTTGGTACATTTCCCTGAATTCCCTTAGAGAGCTATCCTAAGTGAACCTCAGTTTCTTAACTGTAAAACAGACTAGAGATCTCTAAGGCCTCTTCCTCCTCCTACAATCTACTCTATACAGAGACTTAATAGAGAGAAATAAAGATTCTTATCTTTATTAAACATTTATTGCTGACAGGCGCTTGTATGGTGAATTGATTTTACTCATTATAACAGCAAATATCACAAAATAAAAATATGCTGAAAACACTAATGTCTAAAAGTGACAACCAACAGACTTTTTATCCGTTGTTAAAAATGGGTTCAACGGAAGAAAAAACTATAAGAGGGGAAGGAGAAGGAACTGGCTGTAGAACTCTGCCTCAGTTCATCCTTTGTTGTAAAGTATGGTAAGCACCTCATAAAATACCTCATAAAGGTATTTGTTAGGAAATTAACCAAAAAGAAACCTTCATTAAACCCCAAGAACAGTTCAGCGGCAGAAACAAAAGTAAGAAATTGAGGCGGGCGGGGGGAGAGAGGCGTGAGAACGTGGCTCTAAAGGAATGTAAGGCTCCTCTACCGCAAGTCGGGGAGAAAGTGAAAACAAACCAGGTTCCCCAAACCGAAAGAAGTCAAAGTTTGAGAATGAGGGGTGGGGCGAACATGAAGGGAAGGCAACGAGTCACAGAACATCCTCTGAGCACGGCCGGGGTGGAGGTGGGGACAGGGGAGGCGCAGGGGGTCCCCGAGAGCGAGGCTAAAGATGCGGCCAAGGGGGCAGAGGGGCCCAGGGACTACTGCTCCCACACTCACAATTCAATCATCCATTCCCCTTCCAGCAGTTCCTTCCAGTTCTTGTCCGTGATGGTCCTCACATGTCTCCACAGTCCTTGGATCCCTGGAGTCTCACACAGCAATAGCACCCATACTATGAAGGCTGGCAGAGAACTCCCGGACTGCGCCATTTTAGTGACTGTGCCGGGAGCAACAGTTAGCTCCCTATTTCCCACCTCCAGCCCCGGGGCCCGCTGCTCACTGCGCATGACTGCTCCAAACGCTCTAAGGGAGCAGCCAACCTTGTATCAATGCGCAAGACGGAGGCGCCTGCGTGAAGATTTCTTCCTGGGCGGAGCCTGTTTACTCTAGTGCGCAGGGCGGAGTGGCTGCTGTGCTGACGCGTGCTGTGCTGCGCTGGCGTCTTGCAAATGCAATAGGAAGAGGGAAAAGAATGGTTGAAAAGAACTGGTTTGTAGTTCACTGTTGTACTCCAGGCAAAAAATCTTAGCTCCTTCTTTCAAGTATTTTATATTACTCTATGTTAACTCCGTCTCAGACCCCCTCCCGCCTTCCACCACCAGAGGTCCTGAAAGGTGTAAAGAAGATGAAGTAAGCAAAAACTTAGCAATTTGAAAGGCCACATTTTAGGGATATTTATATGCTAGAAAGCATCCAGAAGAAGGCATTCAGATGTGTAATGCCACCTCTAAGCCTACCAACCTCTTCTTGAATTGGCAGTGGAATGGTAAGTGATGAAAACGTTAAATAGTGCTTACTGTTTGCCCGGAACTGTGCTAGGCATTTTATGATTATTATTTCATTTGAGACTCACAACTCTGGGGGTTAAATGGTATTATTATCCCCATTTTACAGATAAGCCAAGGCAAATGGAGGTTAAGTGACTTGCCCAAGGTCATACAGCTAGTAAGTGTCTGAGGTCAAATTTTAGTTCCGGTCTTCCTGACTCCAGGCCCAATGCTCTTAAGGAGGAAAGATTGCCTCAGGTTCAATGGATACTCTACTCCACTAGCTCATCAATCCTCTCTGATACTTTTACCATCAATAGTCAGGCAGAGGAAATAATTTGCTCAAAGGAATGACATTTACTGAAATGGAATAACATGAACTATAGTAAACAAAATATTCATTCCCTGTACGTCTGGGGCAAATTCTCACAGAAATACCCAAAGTGTCAATAGGAAAAATAGGTACACATAGATAGCACACAAGTAAAAGGTATGCCTTTAATGCTTTAGGAAGCATTACTAATAATAAGACTAGAGGGAGCAACTAGGTGGTGCAGTGGATAGAGCACCAGCCCTGGAGTCAGGAGGACCTAAGTTCAAATCTGGCCTCAGACACATAACACTTACTAGCTGTGTGACCTTGGGCAAGTCACTTAACCCCATTGCCTAGGCAAAAAAAAAAAATAAGGTTAGAGGTGATGGAATTCCAGCTAAGCTATTTAAGACATTAAAAGATGATGTTTTTAAAGTGCCACACCCAGCTTGCCAGCAGATTTGGAAATTTCAGCAGTGGCCACTGGATTAGAAAAGATCAGTTTATGTCTCAATCCTAAAGAAGGGCAATGTCAGGGCAGCTAGGTGGCGCCAGTGGAAAGAGCACTGGCTTTGAAGTCAGGAGGACCTGAGTTCAAATTCGGTCTCAGATCAAACACTTGACACTTACTAGCTGTGTGATGCTGGGCAGTCACTTAACCCCAATTGCCTAAAAAAAAATAATAAAATTTAAAAAAAGGACAATGTCAAGGAATGTTCAAATTACTACACAATTACACTAATTTCACATGCCAGCAAGATTACGCTTAAGATTCTGCAAGCTAGGCTTCAGCAATATGTGAACAGAGTAGAATAGTTTTAGAAGAGGCAGAGAAACTAGAGATCAAATTGTCTGTTGTGCCAGGGGTTCTGGGGCTGGAGGCCTTACAGCTGGCCTGCTGTACCACTGGCCTGCTGAGCCAAGATCACAGGGCCTTGAGTGCTGATTTGTGCTGTGGCTAAGAGCCTCCTTCAGGCTTTCCTAGACGCTGCCTGCACTGGGCTCTGTTCCCCTTTTACCCAAGTGAGACAGACCTTTCCTGAAGTCCTTCTAAGTTATCTTGGACAGGAAAGTTGTTTCACTCTGTCTTTTTGTGGATTCTATCGCTCCAAGATTCTCTTAGAGGCTTGATTTAATGTTGTTTCCAAGGGAAACTTGGGAGAGCTCAGGCAACTTCCTGACTTCTCTCTACTATCTTCCTTGATAAGTTCTTGAAAGATGATGGCTAGACTCTCTTTTTGATCATGGCTTCCAGGTAGCCTAATAATTCTTAACTTATATCTGCTCAATCTGTTTACCAGTTCAATTGTTTTTCCAATGAGATAGTTCACATTTTCTTCTATTTTTTCATTCTTTTGACTTTGTTTTATTGTTTCTTGATATTGTGTGGAGTCAAAAGCTTGTACTTGCCCAATTCTAATTTTCAAGGAATTATTTTCTTCATTGAGCTTTTGTACCTCTTTTTCCATTTGGTCAATTCTGCTTTTTAAGGAGTTCTTTTCTTCAGTGAATTTTTGAGACTCTTTTACCATTTGTCCATTTCTATTTTTTAAGGTGTTATTTTCTTCTTTTTTGAGTGTCTGCTTCTTTTTACCATGTTGTTAATTCTCTTTTCATAATTTTCTTGTGTCACTCTCATTTCTTTTCCTAATTTTTCCTCTGTCACTCATCTCTTTATTCCAGCAGTTCTTCTAGAGTGTGGGCTCAGTTGCATTTTTCTTTGAGGTTTCCCTATTGCTATCGTCTTCTGAAGTTATATCTTGATCTTCCCTGCCACTCTAGTACCTTTTTTTAGTCATGTTCTTTTTTGTTGTTGTTGTTTACTTGTTTTTACCACGTATTTCTTTACTTTGAACTTTAAATTAAAGTTGGGTTCTGCTCACCTGGAGTTTTCAGGGCTGGTTCTGGAGGTTTGCAAGTTCTCAGTGCTTCTAAGGTGCTGTGATACAGGGAGAGGTGTTGTCACTGTTCTCCTGGTCTGTGCCCTGTTCCCCTGCAGCCACAAGTGTTAGTGCTTCTCTCTGCCTTGCAACTGCAATCAGGGCCCCTGCTTCCGTGTGAATGACCATAGGTGCTCCTCTCCGGAACTCAGAACTGTGTACGGACAATAGAGTTGCCAATCAGTGCCAGCTTCAACCAGTCCTACCAAAGAGTCTCCTGTAATCTCCTTCTGACCTGTTGTCCAAGCACCTCCCCCCACCCCCGACCATCTCTGGACTGAGAGCTCCCAAAGCTGCTGCTTTTGCTGTCACATATGTCTCTAAGGCTGACTGCAAGTGCTGCTGCTGTGCTCCAGGCTGACACCCACCCCAGTATCGCAGACCTCTCCTGCTGACCTCCTAAGTTATCTCAGACTGGAAAAAATGTCTCATTCTGACCAGAGCCCATACAAGAAGACCAGTGACTACACTTCTCCCATGATATCACCACCATGGAAGAACTAAAAACTTAAAGATTCCTAGGACTAATTCTGAAAAAGCAGTGCAAAAAACTAGAAGTTTGGGACAGTGTGCTGTACCTGTAAAGTGAACAGAATTCAACTTAAACATAAAGTTCAAAATCAAGAAATAGGATGGAAAAACGAGCAAACAACAACAACAAAATAAAAGAACCTGACCACAAATAGGTACTAGGGTGACAGGAAAGATAAAGACAGAAATTCACAAAAAGAACATGAAAACAGCTATAAGCATAGCCTCAAAGAAAAAAAGTGCAGATAGTACACAAGCAAAAAGAGAATTCCTGAAAGAGCTAAAGAAAGAGCAAAAAAAAAAAGACTTAAAAAATCAGATGAGAATGGTAGAGGAAAGCTTGAGAAAAGAAATGAACAATGCAAGGAAATTATGAATAGAGAATTAAGAGCTTGGTAAAAGAGGCACACAGTTTGCAAAAGAAAATAACACTTTAAAAAGCAGAATTGGTCCAATGATAAAAGAGGTAGAAAAGTTCACTGATGAAAAGAACTCCTTAAAAGGCAGAAATGATCAAAAGAAGTACAAAAGGTCACTGAAGGAAATAATTTTTTGAAAAGTAGAATTGATGTTCTGTGTTTTCTTTCACAACATGACTAATATGGAAATGTTTTGCATGTCTACACATGTATAATCTTTATCAAATTGCTTGTGCAGGGGGAGGAAGAGGAGAATTTGAAACTCAAAGTTTTAAAAATGAATGTTAAAGATTGTTTTTACATGTAACTGGGCAAAAATAAAATACTAAATATCTGGTTTCAGTATCTAGGATTTGGCTATAATGTTCCTGGGAGTTTTCATTTTGGGATCTCTTTCATGAAGTGATCAGTGAGTTCTTTTACATTCTACTGTGCCCTCTGATTCTAAGACATCTGGTCAGTTTTCCTTTATAATTTCTTGACATAATATCCAGGCTCTTTTTAAAAAATTATTATTATAGCTTCAACTAGTCCACTAATTCTTAACTTATTCAGGTCAGTTGTTTTTTTTTTTCTGATGAGATATTTCACAGTTTCTTCTTTTTTTTCCATTCTTTTAACTTTTATTGTTTCTGGATGTTTCATTGAGTCATTAGCCTTCACTTGCTTAATTCTACTTTTTTAAAACTGACCAGCCAAATCCTAGATGCTGAAACCAAATGGAAAGAAAACATTCAAATATGGAGCCATAGTTAGGATCACACGAAATTTAGTAGTTATTATATTAAATGATTTGAGAGCTTAGAATATAATTTTCCAGAAGGCAAAGGAACTGGAATTACAACCAAGAATAATTTAATGAAGTAGAGGACTTTCATGCATTTCTGATAAAAAGATCAGAACTAAATAGAAAATTGGACATTCAAAGAGAAGACTTGAGAAGCATAGAAAGGTAAATATGAAAAAGAAATCATAACAGACTTAATAAAGATTAAACTATTTATATTTCTGTGTGGGAATATGATACATGTAACTCCTAATAACTTTATCATTGGTAGGACAGTCAGAAGGAGCCTATATAGACAGAAGGCATGGGTATGAATCAATTATATTGGGATGATCTAAAAAAAATGGAGGGCAAGAAAGAGGGATGCTTGCTGGAAGAAAGGAAAAGGGAAAAGGGGAAATTGTCTCACATGAAAGAGGCATGTAAGGAAGAACTTTTACATTGAAAGGGAAAATGGGGGTGGGGATATAAGGCTTGAACCTCACTGTCATCTGAACTGGTTCAAAGAGGGAAGAATACACACACACACACACATGCACACAAAGTAGAAAAAACTTGTCCAACAGGGAAGTCTGAGGAAGAGATAACAGGATAAGAGGGGACAGAAATAAAACAAAAGGCAGATTGTGGGAGGCAAAGATCAGAAGGAAGACAGATTTTATGGAAGGACTGGACCAAAGAAGAGTGAGAGAAGGATAAAAAAGAACTATGGATGTATGGATGTCAATGGCATGAAATCACCCATAAAAGGGAAACCGCAGAATGGGGATTAGAAACCAGATTCCAATAATATATTGTTTACAAGAAACACACACACAGAATTAAAATAAGGGACTGGAGCAGAATCTCTTACTATTGAGCTGAAGTAAAAAAGGCAAGTTAGTAATCATGATCTCAGACAAAGCAAAAGCAAAAATAAAACTCATTAAAAGAGATAATCTGAGAAATCAGAGAAGCTACATTTTGTTAAATACAGGCAATGAAGTAGTATCATCACTAAACATATGTGCATCAAATGTTATAGCATCCAGATTCTTAAAGGAAAAGTTAAATTAATTACAAGAGGAAGTAGTAAAATTATATTAGTGAGCAACCTCAACTTTACCCTCTCAGAACTAATCATAAAATAAATAAGAAAAAAATTAAAGAGATGAACAGAATTTTAGAAAAGTTAAACATGATTGACTGCTGGAGATAATTGAATGGGAATGGAAAGGAGTATACCATTTTCTCAGCTGTACATGGGAAGTTAAAAAAAAAAACTGACCATACACTATGGTATAAAAATTTCACAAATACAAAAAAGCAGAAAATATTAAATGTGCCCTTTTCAGTCCAAAATATATTAAAAATTACATTCAATAAAGGGCCTTGGAAGCACACATAAAATTAAATAATAATCTAATCCTAAAGAATGAATGGGTGAAAAAAAAAACAAATCATAGAAGCTATCATTAATTCCATTAAAGATAATAACAATGAGACATCATCATACCAAAATCTGTGGGATGCAGCCAAAGCAGTACTTAGAGGAAGATTTATATCTCTTTTCACTTACATTGATAAAACAGAAACTGAGCATATCAATGAATTGGTCATGCAACTAAAACAGCCAGACAAAGAACAAATTAAAGATCACAATTAAACATCGAAATAGGAATCCTGAAAAACAAAGGAGAGATTAATAAAATTGAAAGTAAAAAAAATTATTGGAATTAATAAATAAAACTAGGAGTTGGTTTTAAGAAAAAAGCAATGAAATAGATAAAACCATGGTTCACTTTGATTTAAAAAAAAAAAAACAGAAAGAAGAAAACCACATTACCAGAATCAAAAACAAAAAGGGTGAAGACAATATTAAAACAATTATTAAGAATTATTTTTCCCAATTATATACCAACAAAACTAATTATCTAAGTGAAATGGATATTTACAAAAATATAAATGGTTCCAGATCAACAGAAGAGGAAATACAATACTTAAAATAACTCTATCTTAGAAAAAGAAATTGAACATGTCATAAATGAGCTCCCTAAGAAATACCACTGGGACTAGATGGGTTAACAAGTGAATTCTACCAAACATTTAAAGAACAATTAATTGCAATACCATATAAACTATTTGGAAAAATAGGTAACGAAAGTATACTGCTAAATTCCTTCTATGACACAAATATGATTTTGATATCAAAATCAGGGAGAGCAAGAACAGAGAAAACTATGGATCAATTTTGCTAATGAATTATTGATGCAACAAGTGTAAATCAAATACTAATAAAGAAATTATAGCAATACATCACAAAGCAATATATGGCGAGATCGAACACTATGACCAAGTGGGATTTATGCCAAGAATGGAGAACTGGTTCAATATTAGGAAAATGATAGACACACTTTGACCATATCAATAATAAACACAACAAAAATCATATGATTGTATCATCAGATAAAGAAAAGGCTTTTGAGAAAACAAAACACCCATTGCTATTTAAAATAAGAGAAAGCATAGAAATAAATGGTGCTTTCCTTAAAATGATAAGAATTTGATTTGTTGTGTTATTTTAAAGTTGTTTGGAGGGGAATGCTGGATGGGTTAGTCTGGAATGCTGAGTCTAATCTGCCATCTTGGCTCCCCCCCTCCATTTCACAGTCTGCTTTACTCTGCATTTTATCTTTCTTAAAATAAGATTATAAAAAGGTAAGATTTGCAGTTAAGTAAAACCTATTTTACTTATGGAATGGTTAGAGAGCTGCCTCCAAGCCAAGAAGAGCTAGGAGTTCTGCTTTTGACACTTTTTTGTTATGTGGTTCTTGGCAAGAAACTTAACCTTTCAATGCTCTAAGCATTGGAGAGAAAGTACCAATCTGTGGTGGTACGGAGCTTTTCCTTACCAGGGAGTTTCCTTCACCAATGAAACCACAAGTCCAATCCCTGTTCCTAAGTAAATGAAATGTTCTAAATTATGCTCTTTATTCATAAGTGAATTACCTTGTTGTGTAGTATGATGGAGGCTTCATTCAGACACATTAGTCTTTGGAGAATTAATTGGCAGTGTTGTGGCACATGACAAGGTATTAGTTTCTGCAAACTGAGTGGTTCATGCTTACAGTGAATTAATAAAACTGTAGATCAATGGGTGAGGACTCAGTCAATACTAAGTCATTGCCAGATATTTCTAAATCTGGCACAAACTCTGTAGAAAGGATTACAAGGATATAGATAAAAGGTAGAATGAATTTACGCTTAGGGAAAAGACACGGACTTTTTTTTTGTAGGGCACTGAGACTACTATGGTCTTCAACTGTTTACCTTTCTTATTGAAGAGGCTACTTCTTAACTGATTATCTAGACATGTTGATACCGATTTAAACGCAAGTCATCATCAGGATCACATGCAAATCTATGAATAATGCCTGCCACATATTCTGATTTTAAATACTAATGTGGCAACATCTTTGTTGATGTTATTCCATTATATTAAACAAACCCCCATTTTTAAAGCAAGCTCTGTGGTTAAAAATAATTTTTTATTTACTTCAAATGGAAAATCAAATGGCTTAATTCTGAAAATTATTGCTGACAACAACAATGTTTTTTTTTTTAAATGTCTTCTGGGAACCATTAAGAAAAAGTTGGATGACAAAGCCTCACTTTCTTGACATTTGCTGTGTTCAGTAAATGTATGTTTTGGATAGCTGGGCTACTCTTGAGCAACTCCAGTTTTCTTTAAAGTAATTCACTCATTTTCCAATCTACCTTCCAACATGTTCTCTTTGTTAATTACAGGTAAAATTTTATTTAAAGCACCTCTTTGCTTAAATTCTAAATCCTTTATTTTGTTAACTTCATATTTACTAGCATATTTTCATTATAGCACAGTAATGCAAATAAGTTTGGTCAAAATTTTTTTTCCCATTTTTCTTGGCTTAGTTTTGTTTACAGAAAAACTTTTGACTAATGGATTAGTTCAGAAATATTTTTATTTTTCTAACTACATAAAATTATTGAGTAATCCATGCTTTTATATAATCCTTAAAGTTTATATTTTCCTTTCAATTTAGTTTCAGAAAACAACTGGCTTCATTTATTGAGAACAAAGATTACATGTTTTTGCTGAATGCATTAAAAAGATTTAATCATGAAGAGGTGCTTCTTCATGTCCTTCACAGTTTACATTCCCAAGCACTCTCATGTAAGTATTTACAAATAAGATTGTCATTACCCACTTGAATCACTATAAACTAAAACATCTTTTCCAAGAGCTTTTTTGAAGATAATTTGTAAATTAGACATCTAAATGTATTGATATCAGGAAAAAATCAACTATTATTGATATCAAAATGAGATAATTTTCTGAAACTCTGAAATTAAATGGCACTTTTTTTTATGATCAAGTGGGATTTATTCCAAGGATGCAAGAATTGTTCAATGTTAGGAAAACAATCGACATGACTAATCACATTAATCATTAATAATTATTAATCATTAATCATACTCTTTTTTTGCCAAAACAAACAAAAACTCCTAGAAGGTACTTTGCAAACATGAAAGCACCATATGAATGTCAGTGATTAGCATTGTTTGTATTATCATTGTATATATTATGATATTACATCATAGAAGTCAGAATGGTAAGAAGCCTTACAGAGAGGGCCCCAGCATTAAGCTTTCTCATCCAAGCCCTACGTGGACAAGGCCTCCATCAGAGCCAACAGGTGGCAGTCCAGCCTGTGTTGGAAGATGTCCAGGGAGGAGGAATCCATTGTCTCCCAAGGCACACCATTCCATTTGGGGATGCTCTAATTGGTTCCTCTTTTTTCCTGAGGTTTTAGAGTCCTATTTTTTGTATCAGACATTTCCCCAATCTAACCCTATGACCGCGAATTTTCCCTTTAAACAAAAAATTTTTTTAATCAACCTCAAAACCGAGTAAACAAAACCTACCGAAGCCTTATTTGACAGTATGTCTATTCCCACAATCTGCCACCTCTATACCTAAATGAGGGAAATGCATTTCATCATCTGGTCCAGGGAAGTAAAACTAGCTATTACAAATACTTTTACTGTTGTTTTCATTTGCTTTGCTGTGGTCTCTTTGGGTATTTTGTTCACCTGGTTCTGTTCCCTTATCTCTGCATTAATTTGTACAAGACCTCCCAAGTTTCACTGAATTTCTCATATATTCATAATTTCTGAAGGTGCTATTGTTCATACACCACCCTTTATTCAGCCATCAATTACTCAATCTGTAGGCACTTCCTAAGCCCGTCCTTTGTGTCAGACGCTATGGAATTAGAGTTGGGAATCCACAGATGAAGGTGCAACGGACCCTGCCTCTCAAGGAGAGGGAGAAAACATGTACACACATAGACAGGATGATGCTTGGTAAGTGTTTAACAACCGTCTCTCTAGAGAAAGTGTAGACTTGGTGCACTTTTAAATTTAATCTGCACTATTGACTAAATGTCACTTTTCTTGAAAGAAGGTTGTAGACTCATGATGGAAAATGCTATCCACATCCAGAGAAAGGACTATAGAGTCTGAATGCACATTGAAGCATACTATTTTCTTTTTTTTTTCTTTCTCATGATTTTTTCCATTTTGTTCTGATTCTTTTTTCACAACATTAATAATGTGGAAATATGTTTAATGTGATTGTACATATATAGCCTATATCAGATTGCATGCTGTCTTAGGGAGGGGAAAGGGATGGGGGAGGGAAACATTTTGAACTCAAAATCTTTTAAAAGTGAATGTTGAAAATAAACTAAATAAATAAATACAAATTAAAAATATATTTAAAAAAAAGAAGGCTGTGAAGAGTGAGTGAATTTGGCTTATGGACCACAATGTCAAGTTTAGTTAATGGGCTGATTTTATACCGTGATTCTCAGTGGAGCTATGAGCTCATTATTATGGGTACTTCCTCCATTACTGCTAACCACAACTCATAAATGCTTTTTTGTGTGTGCAATTCTTGTGTCTTACCATAAAATTTTTTGTAGGGGTTTAACTGGTTACACTGAAGGCCTCTTTTTTAGATCTTTTAATATTGTGTGTTCAGTTCAGCATTTTGCCTGTATATTTTGTTACCCTTGCTATTAATACATGACTAGCTCACCTCCTTTTCCTATTTACCATTACTTCTAGTGTCCAAATTAGCACTAGTAATATAGTCTTTGTCTACATATATCATTGTTTCTTGGAGTAACCCACAGTTTTTAAATTCTTTAGATACTGTGATGTTTCATGATTCATGGATATACACACACACACATATACATATACATATACATATACATATACATATGCGTATACATATACATATACATATACGTATACATATACATATACATATATGTATACATATATGTATATGTACATGTATACGTATATGTATATGTATATGTGTGTGTGTGTATATACGCACACACATATATACATAATCACTGGAAAAAAATTTTTGTTGAAAAGGTGAGTTTTTTTCCACCGTGGAAAACCTTGAGATCATTGGCAGTATTTTTCAATTTTATAAATGCAGTCCACAAGTACTAATATGTGAGCATTTCACTGATCCATGATTTCATCGCTGTGGATGCTCTTTCCATTGAGGAGCAAAACAATCCTTTTATACTCAGTCAATAAGTACTTATTAAGTACCTATTATGTGCCAGGCACTGTGCTAGACAGAAAGCAGTAGGCACAAGTAATAAAGAATGAAATGATTCCTACTAGTAATGAGCATGCATAAATTCTAACAGGGTAGACAAGTACACCTAGGAAGTTAATACATGTGTATATACATAAATGTATATAGATAGATACATACACACACACACACATATACACATATAAAGATAGGTAGGTAGAAATAGTAGTTAAATACAAATAAATAGTTTGGAAGAAAGGTTACTAGCAGTTGGGGGGATCAGGAAAGTCTTGAAAAAGGATGTGTCTGAGTTACATCTTAAAGGGAAAGAGAATGGGTTCAATGAGGTAGAGGTAAAGAGGGAATGCACATTCCATGCAGGTGGAATGGTCAGTGCAAAGGCATTGATATCAGACAATAATTATTGTGAGTGAGGAACAGAGAGAATGCTTGTTTAGCTAGATCATAGTGTGTAGAAAGGGGAGTGATGTCAAGTAAGGATAGAAGGGTAGGTTGGGGCCATGTGATGTAGGGCTTTAAAAGCTGTAGCTTAGCAGATGTCTTATTGGGCTGCTATGGCTGAAAAATTATTAGTTGATGACTATCATCCCATTGATTAGTCTTTTAAAAACTAACTAAGCTGTTGCTCAGCCAACAGGAACTATTGCCAAACCTGTACTCAGAGCACGTTTGTAAATGGTAGAACATGCCAAAGCTTGTGCTTCACTATTATAATCTTCAAGAATCCAGGGCTACCTCCATTCTATGACGTGGTAGATTAGAACTGTAATAGAAGATATATAATATTTATAGTATAGGTATCCATATATCCATATATCCATATACACACACACACATATACATACATGCATACATATACGTAAATATATATATATATATATATATATATATACATACATACACATATACACATATATATGCACACACAGATATTGATATGGCTTCACAATAAATTCTGGAAATGTGGGAGTAAGCATTAATAATTATGTAGGGGAAAATAGAATTGGGGCTTTAGTAAATCAGAGTACAGTCATACTTTAAAAAAAATTAAAAGTAAATAAATTTACTTTGGTAAATTTATTAGATTTTATTTTAAAATGAAACTCCATCTCCTTTCCCTTCCATCTCCCTGCTGCCCACCTGTCCTTTCCTCTTTCCTCTTCCCCTCCTAAGAAAACAGGAAAAACAAAGCCTCCTATTATGAACAAGCAAAAAAAATTCCTACATTGGCCATGTAAAAAAAAAATCATTCTGAGTCCATCACCTTTACATCAGGAGGTAGCCTATATACTTTTGAAAAAAAGTATGTGAATTATTTTAAGCAAATTTAAGAGTATGTATAATTTTCTTTTTATGGCAGCTATTTCAGCCCCATATGACCAGAGACAGATTTTTCTTGGTTACACATTCACAAAATCAAAATTTTTTTTTTGGAATACTTTATCAGCATTCTTATATACATTAGCATACTTCATCAAGCCAGAATTTACCCTAAACATTTTTAAAGTAAGCACTTGGTATAATAATATTAATATACATATATAATATACAATATAATAATATTAAAGCAAAACTCAATTTAAAAAAGCTAATAAAATTTTAGGATATAATTATTTTTAGAACAAACACAAACCATAAAGAAAAATTCCACAAATAGCTTCTTCCTTCACTTCAGTGGATAGAGTGCTGGGCCTGGAGCCAGAAAGAGTCATCTTCCTGAGTTCACATCTGGCCTCAGACAGCTATGTGATCTTGGGCAAGTCACTTAATCCTGTTTCCTTCTCTTTCCTCATCTGCAAAATGCCCTGGAGAAGGAAATTGCAAAATGCTCTAGTATCTTTGCTAAGGAAACCCGGATCATAAAGAGTACAACACAACTGAAAAATGATAGCCCAACAGCAACAAAAATAATAACCCTTATAAAAACCCAAACCAACAAATCCCTCAGACCTAAGGTGTATCTTATATTAAAAAATCCCATTAGTTTCTCTCAGCTCATGTTTCTCATGAACTTTGTCTTACTTTCTTCTCTTAGCCATTACAGTGAGTCATCATCAGATAGATAACTTTTAATCATATAAAGTCCTGTAGCTAATACTCATTTATTCTAAATTTTTCATTCATACTGAATCTTGCAATTTTTTTCTTTTTAGAGGAAAATAAGTAAAACATGATTCTCATTATAACTTCATAGTCCTGGTATAGAGTTGAGCTAATTAAGTTAAAGAAAGGACTTAACATCTTAGGATTTAAAAGGAAAAGGAGATGGGATTTTATTTATACTTTCTTTTTTAATATCTTATTTTTCCCCACTTGCACATAAAAGCAATTTCCAACATTCATGTTTTTGAATTTTGAGTTCCAAATTCTCTCTCTTCTTCCCTTCCTTCCTCCCTCCTTGGGATGGTAAGCAATTTGATATAGTTTATGCAAATGCAGTCATGTAAAACATATTTCCATATTAGTCATGTTGTAAAAGAAAATATAGACTGAAAAACAAAAACAAATTAATAAAATAAAGAAAGTGAAATAAAGAAAGTACATTCAGGCTCCATATGGAGGTGCTTAGCATTTTTCATCATGAATCCTTTGGAATTGTCTTGCATCATTGTATTGTGGAGAATAGCTAAGTCATTCACAGTTGATCAATGTATACTATTGCTGTTACTGTGTACACTGTTTGCCTAGTTCTGCTTGCTTCAATGTTCATGCGTTCAAATCATCTTGCTCACTTTTTCTTATAATGCAATAGTGTTCCATCACAATCACATACTACAACTTGTTCAGGTACTTCCCAATTGATGGACATCCCCTGAATGAACAACCCTTTGCCACTGCAAAGAGAGCTGCTATAAATGTTGGTACAAATAGATCGTTCCCTCCTCTTCCCCTTTTGTTAATCTCTTTGGGATACAGACTTAGTACTGGTATTGCTGGGTCAAAGTATATGCATAGTTTTATAGCCCTTATATAGTTTTTTATAATTCCAAATTACTATCCAGAATGGTTAGAGTAGTTCACAACTCCACTAACAATATATTAGTGTCCCAATTTTCCACTTCCTCGCCAACATTTATCCTTTTCCTTTTCTGTCATATTAGTCAACCTGATAGGTGTGAGGTGGTACTTCAGAGTTGTTTTCATTTGCATTTCTCTAATCAATAGTGGTTTAGAGTATTTTTTTATATAAATATAGATAGCTTTTATTTCTTTGACTGAAAATTGCCTGTACATATCCTTTGGCCATTTATTAATTGGAGAATTACTTGTACTCTTATAAATTAGACTTTTATATATTTATATTAGGTATATTATATGTTATATTCTCACATTCATTTATTATATATGTATATATTCTTTCTATATGTATATTTTTTATAAATTTGACTATATATTTGATAAATGAAATCTTTATCATAGACACTCAAAGCAAAAAAAAAAATCCCATCTTCTTCTCTTCTAATCTTGGCTGCATTGATTTTGTTTTTGCAAAAAATTTTCAATTTAATATAACGAAAACTATCCATTTTGCATATGATGTAAATGTAAATTTGTTTAATCAAAAAGTCTATCATTTATATTGCTTGGAAAGAATAATGAATACATTTACAACTATAGTTAAGTTTACCTTTTTATTCTCAAAACAAATTATTCTCTTTACTAAGCTGTTGTTTTGATTTTGGGTTGCAAAAGCCTTGCATTTCATGCCAGAGATCCAGGATTAGTAGTTACTTTATTATGCTGATACCTCAGTACCATTATAATAAACATATAGATGGAAGCAAACTGTAATAAAATAGCTGCTTGTTTTTGTTTGTTTGCTTGCTTGCTTATTACAAAATTATAGAATCTCAAAAATACAAGGAAACTCTGAGGCCATCTAATCTAGGATAACATAACTGACCATGGCAATTTAGCTTCCAAGATGATCTTCCTAAAGTTCAGGTCTGATAATGTCACACACACAATCCACCTCTCAAAAAAACTCTAATGTAAAATCTTCTGCATAGTTTTTAAAGCTCTTTACAACTGGAGTCCTTCGTCTCTTTCACTTCTTACACTTTACTCCCAGCTGCATATTCTATGATAAAAGCACTGGCCTTGTTTCTCATATATAGCATTCCATGTCTTGACTCTATCATGCCCTTTCACTGGCTGTTCTCCTCCCCCAAAATATTCTTCCTCTACACTTCTGCCTCCTGGCTTACTTCAAAACTTGATTTATATCTTACCTTCTGTGAGAGGCCTTTCCTGGTCTCTATCTCTCCTTCGTCCATTTGTAAAATTCTGCAGATGAGATATTTAACTCAGTCTCCGTGTTTGCAACTGAATCTTTAATTCACAGGTTATGTGGTCTCTGCAAAACTCTACAATCATAAGATAATCAGAGTGAAAAAGGCAAATAATATCTCACTATTTGTTGAGGGCTTGCACTGATAGGTTTGAGGATTTAGGTCAAGCCAGGTTGTTCCTGTTCCTATCCATTATCTAAGAGACACCTAGGTCAGAACGTAGGCTCTCCAACCTCTCCCTGGTACTGTCTTTCACTTGAGAAGATGAAGGATTTTCAACAAACCTTGAAAGATTACCGGGAAGTGAGGAGACGACTCCAGTGGGGACTCCCCCCCAGTTACTGTCATCATGAGAAAAATTATTGTTGATACTTGGCTTTTTCCACTCTGGGTTCTGTTCCCACGAATGGGGTATAAAAACCCCAGCACTCAGATCAATAAAGGGAACTGGTTCTGAACCTGTTACCCACTTGGCCCACATATCTCTGTATTTCTCTCATACTCGCCAGAAAATAAATACTGTCAGGGACACAGATGCCCGCAACAACTATTATAAAATAGTTTTGACTTTGTGGAATCCCTTGAAAGTGTCTCAAGGATGTTGAGGTGTTTCTGGACCGTGTTTGAGAACTGCTGTAGTCCAATCTCCTCATTTTAGAGATATAAGGGAAAAAATACCCAGAGAGATGATTTGCCAAGATCACAGAAATTAACCATTCTACTTTTTCCTATTCTATAATTTAAATAAAATAAAATATTATTAGACTGAAATTAAAATAGGATTAATTGGAACATTCAGATTTTGTGCACTAGTAGTTGCATGACTAAATGTAATACCCAAAATTTTAAGTACATTTACCAAATTCTTTTTATTTTGCTCTTTTTGTCATTTGTTGTTTATTTCATCTTTGTGTGTGTCATGTTTTCAGGGGTTTAAAACAACTTTGGTAGTACTTGAATTATTACTTTGCTTTGTAAACCTGCTGCTAAGCCATCATTCATATGACTCACTAATTTTCTATTAGATGTCCAGGTATTTCACTGGACAAACAGATAATCAAATAAACATTTCTTCTTACTCTTGTGTTAAAAGTCATGGATTCATCTGTTCCCCAACTGCCATTTCTTTTTAGTTACAGAATCTTTGTTGCAAATTCTTTGTCAAAATAACTTGTGATGATGATATTAAAAATGTACTACTGGCAAGAGCCTGTGAGGAAAACAATAGCATTATGGCTGAATGTCTCCTTTTGGGAGCTGATATTAATAAAGTGACTGGGAAAACTTTAGTTTGCCAGGTAAATATTCAAATGGATACAATTATTTTAAAATAAGAACAGAAGTGATGAGAAAGAAGTACACTCCAGTTATGTGGGACTGTCAGTGCAAAAAGAGTGAAATAGAGTGCCATTTTACAAAGAAGAGTAAGCAAGGGAAGTTTGCCTGGACTGCATTGTGCATGGATGGAAATGATGAGGAATAAGTCTGTAAAAATGAGTTAGGCTATTAAGAGCTTTAAATGCCAAAAAAAGAGAAGAGTTGATATTTGACCTTGGAGGTAATAACTGGTATTTACTGAGTAAGGCAGAGGGGTTTGATCGTATTTGCACTTTATGAGAATCACTTTGGGAGCTGTTAGAAGGATGAATTGGAGTGAGAAGAGATTGGAGGTAGGGAAACCAATTGGGGACTATTGTAGTAGTCCAGGCAAAGAGATGATGAGAGCCTGAGATAGGTGACAGTGAGCAAAGAGAGGGGAAAAGATGAGGCAGTTGTTGTTCATCCTGTTCTCGAAGAGGACCAATGACATCAGGAGGGTGATGCCTTGCTTTGTATATGAATTGAATATGAGTGGGGCAGAATTGAGCAGAGTTGTCAGTCTCACTCTCTCCTCCAGAGTCATCAGTGGCAAGACAAAGGTCAAGATGACTGGTGATCACCCAGTATTCACAGAAAATATGCTATGAAGAATCCAAGGACCTAAAAGGTAATGGTTCTCATTAAATTGGTAATTTATCTCTGGTAAAACACCTTCCAGCATCTAATCTTTATCATAGGTCTATACAGCAAAAATAATGGGCAGAATAAAAGCCTGTAATGTGTAATGACAACCTCGTCAAAGTAAAGAACAATAATTTGGGAATGCAAACGTATAAAAGTGAAAGACGATTTAGAAGGAGAGAAAGAAAAAACAGTATTAAAAGAAAATATTTTCACTAGGCAAACAAAACATCACTATGTTGTTATTATGTCTCAAGGACATAATGTGAGAGACAATTTAAGGATTATAGGTCTCCCAGAAGAAAATGACAGGACAAAAAACCTTAACGTTATAATGAAGAAAAGAATAGAAGCATCAAATAGAAGGCAAACAGAAGAAAGCGATGACCTGTGTGGTCTCAGAAAGAGAAAAGGAAATTGGTCTTTGTGGTGGCAGGAGGGGTTTTCATTGCTCCTATGGGTGGAGAGAGATGTCCTGTAAAGTCAGAAGGGGATCTCATGCTGGGTGTGGCCTGGGAGATTTAGTGTTTAAAAAGTCTACTCCTACCTCAAGATGGAGCAAGTTGGAACTCCTATAGGCAGTTGAGACCTCAGGGTATGAGAGAGCTTTGGCCCAGGGCTATTTTGAGGCAAATGGGGAAAGAAAGGTAGCAGGGAAAGGGTATATATCAATGGTGGGCTGCATAATAAGGGGTATAATGGGGAAGGGGCCTTCACTGTGGGACAGTGTTCTCTCTGACACTTGCAATTATTGAAAATGTTTTGAGAATGAGGCTGTGTGGTATGTGACTGAAATTACAAAACACTCTTAGAGGCGTCTCAAACTAGAAACAGAAAGTTTATTTTCAAATCTAGAGATTCGGGTGTCCCTCCACCAGTGTGCTCTGATGAGGAGAGACAAGGTACAGAAGCAGAAGCCAGATTAAATAACCCTAATGGGAAAAGTCCCCCTCCCACCTACTGGCCACTACTGGGCTCACTATCTAAGTGCAAAACTCTGCCATAGAAACAGAAAAACAAAACAAAGAAACAATATGCATATCTATACTTGTAAAGTAATATCAAAGAAGCAATTAAAAATGTGCAGTCAAACTAAATGCTGTGCTGTGTAGCAAGGTCACCGTGACCGAAATATAGCAACAGTTGTAGCAACATGATACAAAGAGGGTTTCAGGAGTTTCAGACTTGGTAAACTTGAACTACTGATGTAGCACTGGGGGAAAAGGGGAATTATAGAAATCTGTACTTAACCCTATCCTGCCTTCTGAATTTATCTCCAAATTCAGGATTATCTTGTCCCAAACCTTAATTACACTGAGAAGTCTTCATAGAGACATCCCATTCAAGGCACAATGGAAAAGGGAAATTCACATCACCAGCTCTATTAGACTGTGGCAAAAAGTACCTAGAGGGGAGAGCCTAGAATGGATACTTTCAAAGCTTTGATTATAATAGGAATACAGAAAAAAGAGAGAGACTAGATAATTATAAGGGTCATGCATCAGACAAGAAAGATGCAAAGATGAATAATGAAGAGAGTGAGAGGCATCCTTTTTAGAAAAGTGGCACTTTTAAAAAAATGAAATTTTAAAAACTACTGAACAGTTCTGTTAAGGGGAGAATGTATGTGGGTGGGAAGAATAACTGGATACATGCAGGAGCAAAAGGAGTGGATGAGGGGTGAGGAGAAGACTACCACTGGTTACAGGACCACTTTTTAAAAGATGAAGGTAAAGCCTTTAACAAAGTACTACCCTCTTTCATGCTAAAAACCTTTCAAAGTATAGGCATAGAGAGGTTTTCTTTTTCTTGCTAGGCAGTGGGGTTAAGTGACTTGACAAGGGTCACCCAGCTAGTGAGTGTCAAGTGTCTGAGGCCATATTTGAACTCAGGTCCTCCTGACTCCAAGGCGAGAGCTCTATCCACTGTGCCATCTGTCTGCCCCAAAGATACTGTTCTGTTTGTTTGTTTTGCTTTTTAGTGAGGCACTGGGGTTAAGTGACTTGCCCAGAGTCACACAGCTAGTGAGTGTCAAATTTGTGAAGGCCAGATCTAAACTCAGGGCTTCCTGACTCCAGGGCTGGAGCTCTATCCACTGGACCACCTAGCTGCCTAGGTTTTTTTTTTAACATCATAAAAAGCATCTTTTTAAAATCCAAAGCAAGCATCACATGCATTGGTAATACACTGGGACATTTCCCAGTAGATGCAGGAGTAAAACACAGATGCTTACACTCCACACTATTATTTGATATATTTCTGAAAAGGCTCATAACTGCAATAAGAGAAGGGAAGAAATGAAAAGCATAACAATAAGTAAAGAGAAGATAAAACTAATTGAGACAAAAGCTTCAACAAAGTTGCAAATTACAAATAAACTCTGAAAAATCAATAGCACTTCTATATAATGATAACAAAACACAAGAAGAAATAATAGAAAAGGAAATCCCATTTCAGATAATTGTAAACTGCACAAAATATCTAGGGACTGACACAAAAGCACACAAAAGACTTGTCAATTCAATTACAAAGTACCCCTTAAAGAAATAAAGAACAACTTAAATAACTGGAGGACTAATTTAGTCATGTCAATATAATAAAAATAACAATGCTACCAAAGCTAATTTATACTTTTAATGCTATACTAATCAAATTACCAAGAGGATACTTTACAGAACTTGATAAAATAATAGCAAAGTTCATTTGGAAAAGCAAAAGATCTACAGTACACAAAAATACTACAAGATCATCTCATAACATTAGAAGAGAAATACATCATCTGTCTCTTAAATCCATAGATCAAGATAGAGGTACTTACTGGAGACAAAATAGATAGATTACCTGAAACCAAAAGTTTCTGCACAGACAAAATTAATGAATGGGAAAAAATCATGTGTGTATGTATGTATGTGTATATAACTAATAGCTATTCCCCAATAGATAAGTGGTAAAAGGATATGAACAGTTCTCAAAAGAACTGCAAAGTATTCACAATCGCATGAAAGAATGCTTCAAATCACAAATAATGAGAAAAATGACAGTCCATTACACACTGAAATTTTACCTTGCACCTTGAAAAATTGGCAAAAAATGAGAAAAAATGGTAGTAGTCATTGTTGGAGGGATTGTGGAAAGGTACAGTGTTGGTTAAGCTATGAAATGCTACCACAATTTCGGAAAGCAATTTGGAATTATGTGAATGAAATGACTAAAATGTTGATATTCTTTGATATAGGGACTCCATTACTAGGCCTGTGCCCCAAGGAACTATCAATAAGAAGGAAGTCCCCATACACATCGAAACATTTATAGCAGTACCTTTTGTATTAGCAAAGAATTGGAAACATGTACGTGCCCATCAATTATACCTAAACAAATTTTGGTACCTGAATAAATTGGAATATTACTGTGCTATAAGAAATCATGTGTGTGAACAGAGAAACACAAAATTCTGTATGAACTGATGCAGAGTGAAGTAAGAAGAGACAGGAAAATAATATAAACAATAACTCTAAAAATTTAAATGGAAACGTCAAAAAATTGAAGTGAATGTAACAAAACTATATAGATCAAAGAGGACTCAAATGAAGAGATATGAAAGAACACTGACACCTACATCTTCGTGAATGCCTACTCGTGTTACACATTGCATGTGTTTTTGGACTTTTTCTAGGTATTGATAAGTTATGCTGACTTTTTTTTCCTCTAAAAATATTTGTTATATGAGGTAACTCTGTGGGAGGGAGAAAGGAGAGATAGTTGGGATAAGTATGATGTTGTAAGATACAGAAGGTACCAATCAGAACATATAAAAATAAACAATATTATCTTTTTGCATATATAGTTCCTAGAAACTAATACATCTTGACCCTGAACATTTTCTCTTTCTCTGATGATAAAAGAATTATCTCCTCTAAATTTCTGTGCACAAAGGTAAAACTTAGACAATCTTTGTCTTAAAAATTTTGTTGGAGAGAGTTGGCAGGGTGGGGGAAGTATAATACAACACCTACATGTATAAGTAATCAATTTCCATAAAGTACGTTAAAGACAAAGTATGTAGAAAGGGTCTAGGAAAGGCCTCATATAGAAGGTGAAAGCTGGGCTATATTTGATAGGAAGTTACTCATAGAGATAGAGGGTCAAGAGAGGAATTTAGAATAGGCAGACCTCCTAAGAAAATGCATGAGGCAGTAGGCAAGATGTCACGTACAGGAAACAGAAAGTTGGTGCATTTGGCTACAGTGGAGAGGGGAGTATAATGGAGTTGCCTCCTGCACAGATTTTGTTTAAGTGGTTTGAACTATGTATGCTTGGTTAAAAAAAATTAAAAAATAACAATTTAAGTAGTACTATGAGCATATTGTGTGTGAAAGAGGAAATGTGAAGATATATTTTTTCCCTCAGTGAGTCCTCAGCTCTCAATAGTGTGAGCATCTTGCTGTGTTGAGCATAATTATAATCTCTTCATATCTGCAGGGAGTTTATTTATTCAGCTTAGGCTGTTGAAAGGTATAGCCTTAGTTGACCTTCTTAGCTATCCTAGTTGGCAACAAGGCCACTACTTTTACCTTATTTTGTTCTTTCTTTCCTCATGGTGAAGAAGAAGGCATGTGATGATATGATAACCTGATATAGTCACAATTATGTGAGAAAAAGCACAAAGTGCTGGGCACTGGACTTGAAGTCAGGAAGATCTGGGTTCAAATATCCTCTCTGACATTAACCAGATGATCCTGTTCCTCATTATCTTCATCTATAAAATGAGGGGGGTGGGCCCAATTGCTTTTAAGACCTTTTTCGTCTCTAGCTTTATTATTCAATTAAAGTGTATTTCCCCCTTAATCAGTTTTGCTTACCAGCTAAATCTTTGTTGTTGTTATTTTTTTTTTGGCACATAGTGTTATGTGACTGGTTCAGTCACTTAACCATGCTCTACCAAAGGTGGCAAACATGAAGCAAAGAACCAAATAAAAATGTAATTAGAAAATATTTAATAAAATAAATCAAATACAGTACCATAAAGATAATGTTAATTTGTGGTTTTCACAAGGATTGGTTTCTATTTGAGTTTTATACCACTGCTATAGGCAACTCTCTGATCATATTTTCAAGAATGGTACCAACCTGGATTAGTAGTTGTTTCCTTCCAGTTTTAGTCCCTATCCCTATCCCTATCCCTATCCCTGTCTCTATCCCTATCCCTATCTTTATTTGAATAGTAGTCTTAATTCTTCCTCTCTACTGATAATAGATTGGGGTGTAGTGAAAAATAAAATTTACATTCATATTTCCATAGTCAGTTGCTCACAGATATAGAATCTCTTCCTTTAAAGCATGGATTCTTAACTTGGGAGAAGGAGGTCTGAATTTGAATTGGAAAAATATTTTGATAACTCTTTAGATATAATTGGTTTCCTTTGTAATCCTGTGTGTTTTTTACTTTATACACTTAAAAATATTATTCCATATTCCATATTTACCAGATTGTTAATGGGGCACATAACAAAAAAAAATTAAGAATACATGTTTCTAAGAAACTTTACCCCCTTTCCATCTATTGTTGTCGTTCAGTTGTATCCCACTATTCATTACCCCTTGGACCATAGAACACCAATACTGTCTGTGGGGTTTTCTTGGCAAAGATTTACTGGAATGGTTTACCATTTCCTTCTCCAGTGGATTAAGGCAAACTGAGGTTAAGTGACTTGCCCAGAGTCACACAGCTACTGAGTCTGAGGCTGGATTTGAATTCAGATCTTCCTGACTCTAGGTCCAGCACTCTATCCACTGAGCTACCTAGCTGCTTCCTTTTATACAATACTTAACTATGTGCCAAGCACTATAAGAGCTTTACAATTATTATCTCATTTGATCTTCATAACACACCTGGGAAGTAGGTGATATTATTATCCCCATTTTATAGATGAGGAACTAAAGCAAATAGAGGTTAGGTGACTTGTGCAATATCACACAGCTAGTAAATGTCTGAGGCTGGATTTGAACTTGGATCTTCCTGATTCCAAGACCAGCATTCTATCCATTGTACTACCTGTCTGCAGTTATTTAAAGACACTGACTGAACTTTTTGTGCAATTACACAATGCAGTTTTAGGCTTATGCACTTTGAGCCTAATCTTCATGTAATACATATCTCCATTGTAAAGTGAATATAATATATGACTCCACTATAATATGAAATAAGACTAGAAAAGCAGGTTGAAGGTCTTAAAATACAGGCTGAGGATTTGTATTTTATCTTGGAAGCAATAGGGGAATCACTGGAAATTTTTGAATGGGCAGTGTCATGCATGGTTAGATCTCTGTTTAAGATATATAATTTTGGCAACTGTGGGTAGAATGAAGAGGATATAACTTGAAAGCAGAGAAATCAATTAGGAGGCTATTGTTGTAATGTGAGTTTGACCTTAAGGCTGACATTAATGGTTTATATAATATGATGGGACAGCTAAATGGCCCAGTAGATAGAGTTATGGGCCTGGAGTCAGGAAGATCCTGAGTTCAAATCAGCCTCAGACTCAGTAGCTGTGTAACTCTGGGCAAGTCACTTAATATCTGTTTGCCTTATTTTACTGGAGAATGAAATGACAAACCACTCCAGTATCTTTGCCAAGAAAACTCCAAAGTATAGTCCATGAAGAGTCAGACACAACTGAACAACAACAATGTAATATGATAATATTATATATTCTATAATATCATGTATAATAGTGTTAGGCTTTTTAATAGTATATAGTATGTGTGAGTAGGGAGATAGGGATTGATGTGAGAGATGTTATAGAAGTTTTATAGAAGTCAATTTTTTGACAAGACTTGGCAACCTATTGGGTATGGGGGATAAGGATGTGGGAGATTTTGTTCATTGACCATCTGAAAAAGCAAAGTGCTGTTTTGGAAAACTGAAACTGTATTTACAGGGTCTTAAAATAGGACTTGAGTGTGTAATATAGGGACATTATCTATGTCTTAGCTGAAGAACCATGATCTTGGTGAGATGCATATGGACTCTCGTTCAGTTATTTCAATTGTGTCCAACTCTTTGTGACCCCATTTGGAATTTTCTTGGCAAAGACATTTCCTTCTCCAACTAATTTTACAGATGAGGAACTGAGGCAAACAGAATTAAGTGGCCTGCTCAGAGTCACACAGCTAATAAGTGTCTGAGGTCAGATTTGAACTCAGGAAGATGAATCTTCTTGACTTCAGGCCCAGTACTCTATCTACTGTGTCACCGACCTGCACCTATGTGGACTCTAATCAGGGCTATTCTTCTCAGATACAGTTGTTATATTGTAGTGGCAGAATTCTTGAGAGTCCCTACCGCTTTTGGACATTTCTCTTTGGAAAAGAAAGTTCATATTGTATTTGAATTGCTAGTACTTCATTAAATCATAATTGATATTTTCTTAGGTGAGTCAGTGGATAAGAGGCAGACCTGGTACCACTCTTCATTAAATGGTTTACTATGGTGCTTTGGGGAGATAATATGAACCCAACCGAGGATAGTATTTAAAGCTTTAACCCCAGTTGAAACATGCTTGTAAATTCCCATCGTTTCCTTAAACGAATATAATTGTTGTCATATCCAAGCTCTCAAACTCCTAGAAAAAACTGCATCCCCTTGCTGCCTCCATTTTCTCCTTTCTCACTTACTCCTCAACATTTTGCAATCTGGTTTCCAACATCATTATTCCGTATGGCACAATAGTATTCCATATCCTCTGTTTTTCTTATGATTCCTCTTGCTTCTATGCTGTTTGCTACCTTTTTTGTTGCAGATTTGGGGTATATACTGTAGTTTCTCATTGAATTTCTTGATGATTATTTGATCTGGTGCAAACTTAAGGCTTTTGCTGGGGCAGGTATGTGTGAGCTGGGCAGCAATGGACATCTTTAGACTTATCTTCTGATGAATCTCGACTAGAGTAAATAGTTAATGAATTTTTAAAAATCAGACATCCTGCCACTTTTCCATTCAAATTTGCACCTTCAGAGCAGTCACCTCAGAGGCAAAATGTTTTGGACATCATTTTTTTCATTACCTTCAGATCCTGATCTAAGAAGTGATCAGGAGAGAATATGAAAAGTTATGGTTGCACTGAATGATATTTTTGTTCACAGGAGTAAGAAATAAACATGTGGGAAAGCATAAAGTTCTTCTTTTGAAATCAACCATGAAATAATAGTTATTATAAATCAAATATCTCAAACTGCCGTATTTCAAGTTTCTAGCAGAACTTCAAGAATAATATTCTTTGTCTAATGTTGATAAACCATTTCAGAGCCCACAAGGGCTAGCATACTGCAACCCCACTTTCTTCACTAAGGAGGCCCATTTGCTCTGTATCTAGATATTCTACTTTGCTTAGATTCAGTCCTAGGGAAGCCTAGCCTCTAATGAAAGGAGTGAGACCCTCCAACCCCCATTTTCAAACTGGGATGATAAATATACTTAAAGATTATATTATGATTAAAGTCTTATCAGAGGAGGGGAAGGTAGTTATTGTACAATATTAATGTGACACTCAAAAGAAATCCTTAACATAAATACTAAAGAAAATACTAACAGAGCAACTTGAAATAGAATTTAGTAATATGTAACTATTGTTATAATTTCCTGGGAGGCTGATACCTAAACATCATCAGAAAATAAAACAGTTTGAAAGAGGGCTAATTAAGCATTTTATATTTCTACTATGTGACTGATGGGCCAGTCATATTAATAGCCATCCTCTTCTGGAATCTTGAAGTAGCTGCTAAGGATTCATCCTCTGCTACTGCTCAGCTCCAAACCAATGAGACTCAGGACCTCTTAAATTCAAAAAGTCACTTCTGTGTGCTACAGCTACCCAAAAATAACACTCAGAGATTTTCTAGGTATAAAGTGAAAGATTTATTATGTTCTCACGAGAAGCGGGCATCTGCTTCATCCAGCAGTCCTAGAGAAGCCAGGCAAGGCCCGGGACAAAGGTTATATAGCCCTAACACAGAGATATCCAGACACCACTGGCTTTGAATTCCTATTGGAGAGGAATTTCAGCCTTACAATCTAAAACGCGAAAATTTACCCCAGAAACAAGGAATCTCATTATAATACTGCCAATCCTAGCTATTTTATCCTTTTTAGTAATTAGGCATTACCTAATGCTGATGTAACGGTACAAATCATGTGTTTTCTAGGAACCTGAAACTTAGGCCTATTGAGGCTACTGTACCCAACCTTGAGTTTGTAACAGTCTTAAGAAATTGCTACACTCAGTCCATCTGAGAGATCTCACGTTGTTTACATTGTTTCACTCAGTTAAAAAAAACAGAGTCTTGACAAAACTTTGCAAAAGGAGAGATCTCTTCATTGACTTTCTCGAGAAAGTGCACCCCCATGCTGCCTCAGCTGCCCCGAGAGTTCAAGTGCTCTTTGTTCAAGGCAAGACTACATAGACCCCAATGTAGCAGCCCACCCTAACTCCCTTCCCATCGGCTCATAGACTGAGCCTCAGGTACACAATCTATTCGTGCAAAAACTACCCCAGCAACAGAGAGAACAAAGAGGTATAGAAATTATGTTAGCACGTTCTCCTTTCCAGGGCCTCACAGTTTCAGCAGTCTTTTACCCAAGGTCGTACAACCAGCTAGAGGATGAGATAGACAGTATGCTCCCATGTCTCAGGAATTTCTGCTAACACTATCCAAGAGTAGGAGAGGGAGAAGGCTAGGGGAGGGGGTCTTGCATTCTGAGGGGTCTTCACTTAGTGTTGGTACACATGTACCACTCAAAAGCAACAATACCAGAACCATTAACAGAACTAATGACCCTTTGAGGAGGCTTCACTTCTGAGAGATCATCTCTCACACCTTCAATCTTTTATACATTTTTGTCAATGTAAATACTCATTAGAAGTAGTCCCTGAAGCTCCTGCATAGAACTAGGAAAGAGAACTCTGAGCATGCTGCATGAGGTGGACCTTGTTGCATTTGCCCTGCATAAAATTCTGAAATGTATTTGTAATCTCTATAGGTATTTAAGCACAGATTTTAAAAGTGAGTCATTGACAGGTTAAACTTGCATAAAATTTGTTTTAAATAAGTTTCATTATTATAGAAATAGGTAGAGTTTGCCCTCTAGTGGTCTCAAGATTCATTTGTTTTATTTGTAATGAGCTAACTAGTATATGAACTAAATAAAAAAGACCTTGAAAGTATTTTATACAGAAAAATGTCCTCTGTGAATCATTCTGGTTTTCTCCCTTTCGTTTTCTGTGTAGCTACAAGTTATCACCTTCATTCTAATTGTAACAGGTCTGTTAGTGCCTCCTGAAGTCAGAGGATTCTCTTTGCCCATTTTTATGGAATTATCATTGGTCTTTAGAAAATCTCTCATCTGCATAGTATGTGATAGAACAGGGAAAATTAGAGAAGAAAAAACTAAAAGGCTATTCATAGTAATACAACTCACCACTTAAACAAGCAGTTAATATGATTAGATACTTAAAGGGATAAAGGTGAAAGACTGCGAACTTCAATAGTAAGGAATCCTCTGTTGGGGGAAAGTGAAGGAGTACGTGCAATTGAAAGACCAGAGGCTTCAGCCCCCTCAACAAGAGGAAATACCTTGAGGGATGGAGGTGAAAATGACAGGCTTCATAGCATTTTACATATTAAGAA